TTCTTGTGTGCTCATGGTGTAGTTCTCTCCAGGAGCAGTGCTTCACCAGTGACTGGACCTTCCAGGTATCTTCGTGATGAATGTTTTCTAACTCATTCAGCTTCTTGGCATATTTTTGACCTTTAAACATTTTTTTTTTTTATTGAGTAAATAAACATATTAAATGAATAGATGTGGTCCATTTTGCTTCTTAACCACATGTGCGCTGAGAACGGAAACGCTCTACGGTGGGAAATATACTTTAATGACCAATATTAGAAGGAAGCCGTGTATTTGTGCTGACATTAATCACAGCTGGCAGAAACTTTAAAGACGGCGCGGCGCTCTAAGTGCCTTCAGGAATAAAAGCAGCATCTGAATTTAAAACACCTGCATGTGAGAAAATAGATTATTTCAGAGGAACGTTTCCGTCTGAAGCTCTGAACCCTGAAACCTCCCTCCCTCACCCTCCTCCCCCGCCTCCCCTGGCCGTCCTTTTATTTTGACAGCTACCTGCTCGGTGGCGTCGTGCGATAATTCCAACAAAAACAAGTCGTCTCTACTCTGCTAAATGTGCCACGAGAGCTGTCAGGGAGTGAACTCGCTGCTCGCGGGCTGCCAGCCAAAACCAAACACATCATCGGCTGCAGTCCGTGCTGACTCACGGCATCGTGTTCACACAGATGCAGCAGAAACAAACATCATGTTATGTACATGCTCAGAGGAAGACTGGAAATACGAAGAGGAGGGAAACTGTTAACAAGGACGGAAAGAGAAGCTCAGTCATTTATATTCTGTCTGACTTTATCGCATGCAGCATATAAAAAGTACACACGGTTGGATTTTGTTTACATGTTGCTAGAATTTACATATAAATAAATGATTATATATTTTGGTATGATTGCTGGTAAGACACACGAATAAAAGCTCCTTATTAGTCAATAATATCTGCGACTAACTGAGCAACTTCCTTGATAGATTCGGAGACTTTTAAAACGTAGATTTCTCCTATTTTTTCCTGTTTATTCGGGACCGTGGCCGTCTGAACTGACCAATCAGCAGTCGTGTAAATGAGCTTTAACAACCAATCCAGGGAATCCCCTTTTCTGTTTTTGCTCTAAATAATTAATGAGGCCATCAAATCGTCTCGAGGCTGGTGCAGCACTTATTTAAGCTGACGGAGATCATTTTGCACAACTGTTTTACGTTTGCTGGATGAGGGCAACAGAACCATCCAGGGGTGCAGCGCCACTTGCTGAAGCTCATCTTTGGCTGGTTCCTGATGCTGCGTTACCACGGTTACTACAGTTACTACGGTGGCAAGATCACAAACACTGACCATATAAGGAGTTCCTCATGTTTCAGCTCATTTATGTAAGGATTTGGGGTGTTCTATATCACACATATATAAATTATTAAAAATGTAACCCGACGCTGACTGACTTCACATCGTGATAACTGAATCTACAAGCACTTTAAAAAATAAATCTGTTTTTATTTTCACTACAAGAAAAACGTGTTCCTGTGCGATCTTGCAGCAGCACATCTATGAAAACATCATATTTAAATCCCTGTTTCCACACCGTTTTCCAGTGTTTGAAGCCTCCTCCTCTCCCTCTATGGTTTGACTCGTAATATTAAACCGACTGCATATGTTGGCTTTAATATTGTGGATTTAGCTGCAACCACAACATTGGTTGGAGGAAGCAAACAGGTGTTAATACAACTAATCTGATGCATAACATGAATAGAAAATGTAAACTTTTGTCAGGAAATTAATCTTAAATTAAGGCCACCCCTGAGATGTGCTACTGCATGAAGTATGAATAAAGTTTTGTTCTCATAACGCCTCCTTTGAATACAGTTAAATCTCTACATGATTCCATTTAACTCTACATCTCACAACTTTGAACTGAATCAGCTGAAATTTAAGGTCCCACAGTTTGAGTTGAAGACCAAAGAGATGTTTTAGCTCCACCTGACTTTCAGAAAAGCTCAGTCTAAAAGCACGTTTTTATATTTTATGATGTTGTTTATAAAGTTTCATTGTTGGGTATTTATTTCCTGAAGTGCCTTTTTAATCCGATTTTAAAAGGTGTTACAGAAATCTAGTTTCTTATTATTGACTTTTTTCCAGACATGTGTTTACTCCAGTGTTTTTATGAACAAGCCTTCAGCTCTACGGTTCATCAAAAGCAGATTTAAATGATTCTTGCTGAGGCGAGAGCAGCTTGAAAAACAAAAAATATCTCATAATAAAGCTCACTGGAGTCAGTTTAGTTGACTGGTTTAAATATGTAAATACTGACATCAGTGATATTTTGGAGCTTTAGATAAAACCAACTTAGTTACAATCAGCTAAAACTGGACGACGTTCTCTGGCTGCACTGATCTATTTTACCTTTCCTTGTGTTTGGCAACTTCTAATTTCAATAATTTTGCTTCTAGTAAATTGAAATACAGTTGAAACTAGATTGTACTACTGATAGCTGTTCATTTCCTCCCAGTGTGTGTTTTCATTAGCTTCCTGTTTTTAACATAATACTATCAGGCCTTGATAAGCTCACTGTGATGATTAATGTTGGCAAATAAAAACCAACTGAATGAAGCTTTAACAAATGAATGTGAAGGATTTGAGCGAGGTCTGCGCTGGAATCGAGGCCAGAAAACTCCTGAGTAAAAACCTGCTGTCTAGAATTACATTAACTCACTTTTTACAACCGTGCTCTCTCTTGTGATTTTCTTTTCACTTCGACTCCTGCCCTGAATAGAGGCGTCGCTGCTCTTCGTGTTAGTCTTTAGGAAGCTTCAGCAGCAGCAGGAAATAAATAGTAGCAGATAAAAAAAAGGGGGGAAAGTCAGCAGGAATAGAGTCCAGAGGTGTGGAGGTTTTTAGATTTACCTTTCTGCCCAGGGAGCCAAAGATGCCGCGAGGGGAGGCCTTTGGTGGGCGGCTGCACTGTTTACTACAATCTTTAACCGGCTGAAATATCTTTGTTGTTGTGTGGAAGAGTGCAGCACAGACATGTTAAAAAAAAAACACATAAAAAACAAGAATCTGCAGCACAAAGCACACGAATAATCAGTCGGCGATGGGGACCGTCGTACCTCCAGCTCAGCGATGATCTTCTCTTCGTCGTCTTCGTCTTGAATCGCCGACGCCGCGATCACTGGGGGGGTGGAGGCCGGCCGGGGCGTGTCCGAGGGGGTCCGTCGCAGCTTCACCAGAGTTTTAGGCAAATCGCCGTCTTCTTCCATCTACAGAAAGCAAAGTGAAGACAAACATTGGAAGTGTGGTGTTGAAGCAGCTGCCCTGTAAATACACGACGTGAAGAAAGTCTTGTAAACATGCACAACAATGCTTAAAATCTTCCACTAAACGTTTCTGAGAGTCGCTGAGACGTCATGATGTAACAAAACGCAACATTCAGTGGATTTTAGCAGCATGGCAGCACATCTCACAGACCTCAAACTGAACTTTGCCGTAAAAAAAAACCTACAAGAGCTACTTGACACTGTTCAGCGAGACCGGGTCGAGGTCTCCGAGGAAGGCTTTGGGCGCCTTGTAAAATCAATGCCTTGAAGAATTCTGTCTGTTCCGGAGACAAAAGTGAATTCAGCTCGGCGAGTTGCTCCGCGCAGAGAGATCAGGGGAGGCTTTAGAGCTGCAGCTCTCGCCTGGAAAACCGAACCTGGAGCCGCCGCCCCTCCGCCTACCAGGGTCTCGCTCTGTTGTCTGGTTTCTTAATATGTTGGAGGGGATCCAACGCGACTCACAGAACACGGGTGTGAATGTGAGACCGCTGAGGTGAAGTTGCGAGTCTTATTCAGGCAGGAAAACGAATTCTTGGAGACTATAATCGTGGCTGATCAAAGTGTTTTTAACGGATCGGTTTTTGTTTTTTTTCTGCTGACACTGAGGGAAAGGGAAAGCAGAACGTGATGTAGGACCATAGACTGTATAAAAGATGGACGTAGCTACCGTGACGTCACCCGTTGGTTTCTGCACTGAGAAAATGAAGCCAGGGTTTTGCTACTTCCTGGTTGACATCTTGGATTTTTGGAGCCAGTGACGCAAAAATCGTCGGAGGGGGGCGGAGCCATAGGAGCAGCGATTGGTCAGACGGGTTGAGAGGCGGGCCCTCTCTGCCCCGCCCACATTTACTGCCTTCTGCTCGCTTCGTCTGTATGGTCGCTGCCGACTGTCAATCAAGCCAGCCACGCCCCTTGCCCTGCAAAATTTTGATGATTTTTTAAAAATTCAGTATTGATTTATTTTCAGATTGGCCACCTGATCTCTGGATTTGACCATGAAAACTAATAAGAAAAAAAATCCTGAGCTGTAGGAATGCAGTATTTCATGATCTGTGATCACTTCTTTTCCAATTCCAGTCTATGGGAGCCAGGGCTTTGTGGAGCCAGCAGCTAGTGGACGTAGTGATACTGCAGGTTTTTGACACTTCCAGGTTGGCTTCATTTTTCAGGGCCGGTTGCTACGTCCATCTTTTATACAGTCTATGTGTAGGACATGGCGTAAATGTCTCGAATTGGACAGCCACTTGTAATATCTGAAATACGAGCGGCTGTAGAAGCAGAGCTGCGTTCAGTACGACCAGTTTGACGATCCACCGTCTAAAGAGAGAGAAGCTTCCTTGAGCCGGCGACGAGGACAAACAGACGGCAGAGAGGTCGGCTGAGTTCGTCTGTCTGGATGAGCAACTCACTGCCGACGTTTTACTCTCTTTTGCAGCTTTTGTATGAAAAGCCAAAAGTGCCACAATTCGCCTTTGTTGGTTTAAAAACCCAAACTTTGCTCTTTCTGCCGTTCCTGAGCTTCACAGCGAGGATCCTGAACACGGCCAAGGTCTGTAATCAGATGTGGCTGCTGCTGGCTTCAACACTTTAGTGTGAAAACTAACATTCTTGTTGCTGTTATTTATATTAGTTTGACTACACTACCGCTACAAGTAAAACTGTTATTTAAATTTGTTGTGACTGTTTATCTATTAAAGCAGCGCGAAGAGGAAACTGTGAATTGCATTTTCATAAAACTGTGATAAGAGCCATTTATACAGAAAAATATATTCAGTTACTCGGTTATTTTGTTAAAACAATCAAGAACAAAGAGAGGAATTATAATAAAGGCTGTTGACTGTGTTATTCTGCAAAATAAAGATATGACTGAGGAACGACTCGGGGTGCAGGAATGCAGTTTGTTTCTGAACAGATCGCAGAAATACTCCGTTATCAAGCATGTAGCTGCATTAATAACTCTGATGTACTTCAAGGGTGCAGCTGTGGTGTCAGTTCGGGACTCTGTGTCGATATATTAAATGACTTAGATGCCAAATAAAGTTGAATCAGCTTCACTTGTTTTCTGTCCGTTAATTATCAGCGACATCAGTCGTTTCTATTTGGTTGTAAATGCGTCTTTACTACCTCAGAATCCCAGAATGTGTCGGACTGTTGCTTGACAATATTTCACGTTGTTCAGTTGGTTCTTGGTCGTATCATACGAGCTGCACATTACGAATACTCACTGATTTTTTCTTTCACATTGCAACTGTCATAAAGATGAAAACTGATGCTGTTGTTTATTTTGTGGCTTCACAGTTCATTGGCTTACAAACTTAAAATCTGTGTTTATTTTACGACACTACATTATATTATAGATATTCGCTTTATGTTTTACTTCTTTTGAGTCACTACAAGTTATTCTGAGAGACATTTTGGGTTAAATCAACCCTCATTCAATCATGGAAATTGGACAGAGACGGTAAAAAAAATAAAATAAAACAAATAAAAAAAACTCAGGCCTCAGTGTTTTTCCTCCGAGTCCTTTAAATGTCGCTCTGTGGCCAAGTCACAACCCAAACACCCGCAGCCTCGCGTCAGATCAAACACACTCGAGGTGCGACTTGAAAAAAACCGAGGAATGTGTTTGTGTCGTCTGTCGCAAAAACCCAACACATCCGGAGCTGACATTTTCACATTTCTCCGCCGCGTCACCTTCGAAAAACTGCACAGTTGGTGGATTGTGGACCGTCGGAGTCACGCTCAGCAGAAAAGTGTTCCTCCTCGATCTGCACGAATCTTTCAGGCGACTTGTTTTGACCTCGAAACGCTGAATTTCACAGAGAGGGGACGAGTTTATGAGTTTATATGTTAAAAATAAAACGACCAGGACTGACTCTGAGCTTGAGTTGGAACTCCTTTAAAGTCACACATACTGTTCTGCCAGTTAATCCACTGATTGTTTTGTGAATATAACAATTATTAATTCTAAAAATCACATGTTTAAAGATGTCGATTATATGTTCCCAGAGCTGAATATAATGTTTAAAGTCAGCTAAAGATACTCAGTTATGCAAAAATTCTGTAAATCTCTGCAGTGGACAAACTGGAGAACGTTGTTCTAAAAACGAATCGATCTGTTGGTTAATTGTTCTGTATTTAATTGCATCTTATGTGTAACTGGCGCACACATACGGTCATCGGCCACTTTATTTGTTTGCTCTGCCGTAAACTCCACTTTTACAGTTTCTACATTTTCAGTTTCCGTTGATGCAGCCAGAATAAAAATGTATAACACACGTTCCAACCCATTAACATCCATGTGGGGAGCAAAATATTGGTTCTTAATCTAATTAAAGACCTGATGTGTGATTAAAAAAAAGATCCTGCTTTGCTTATTCAACAATGTAATGCATCTACAGTCGTGAACAAACATTGACGTTCACTTGGAAACACCATGAAATGATGACAGTCAGGAGTTTCCAGTCGCTTCTACAACTCTTCTGATGGAATCCTTGAAATCTTCGTCAAAAAATCAATCATAAACTTTGATTCTTTGATAGAATTATCACAGGTTTTCTAGGCATATGACAAAATCTGCTGGTTAGAAGATATACACACAGCAACTTGAACTGTCCAAGAAGAGAAAGTTCTGTGGTCAGATGAAGAAAAAAAGAAAGAGCTATTTGGCCTCAATGAGCAGAAATATGTTTGGAGGAGAGAAGGTGAGGCGTTTAACCCCAAGAACACCAAACCCACCATGGAGCATGGAGGTGGCAGCATCATGCTCTGGTTCTGTTCTGGTGCTTTACACAAATTAAATGGAATAGTGATGATGGAGGAGGATCACCTCCATGTTCAAACCTAAAATTACCACCAGAAGGTTGATTTTGGACACAGCTGGATGTTCCAACCAGACAATGAGCCCAAACACACATCAAAGTGGTGAAGAAATGGTTCCATCAGGCTGGAATAAAGGTTCTGGACTGGTCTCCCCAAAGTCCTGACTGAAACCATCCAGAACCCACAAACTGATGAAGGAACACGTCAGAAAGATGAAACATTTAGTTGAAGAGAAGCCAAAGATAAACCAGAAGTTTGTAGACGGAAACCAAACGTATGAATATTTTTGACCCATCAGATTTTGTCACATTTCCAGAAGACCTTTAATAAATCTGTGAAAGAACCAAAATGCAGGATTGATTTTGGGTTTTTTTTTTGACAAAGACGCATGTGTTTCAGGCTTCTGAGTCTAACCTCACCTTCAGGTTCTTGTTGGTGACGATGACCTCTCCGGTCCGGTTGGTGGTGAGTCCGTGAGCCGACGGGAAGCTTCGGCGAGGAGGAGGTGGAGGAGGAGACTTGGAGGGTTTCTCTGTTCGGTATCTGGCCACGCTGAGGTCCACTAAGAAAACACAGAAGCTCACATCTTTAGTGCTGAAAGTCCTCCAACCTAAACTGTCTGTAAATCCTCTGAACTCCAAGCAGCAGTTTCTGGGTGTTGTTTTATTTTCTCCTCCTGTCAGGTCTCTGCTCATTTTTCACTGCAGCATAAAGTCCTGCACCTCGATAGAAACAGAACAACCACGAAGAAGCAGAGAGGAATAAGAAAGTTAAGATGTTACTACAACAGTTTACACGGCTTCAAGTTGTGTCTCAATATGACAACTTTTAAATCTATTTTAATATAAATATGGAGGTTCAGCTTTTCCCTATAAGGTCAGTGGAAAACATTTCTCTGTCAAACTTCGTATGTTGACGGTTTTGAAGGTTTTCTAAAAAGCCAACTTTATTGTTTTCACATACAAAAATACCGGACAGCAACATGTCCAAAATGTAGTGTCTATAGATGTTAGCAGTACTGGAATAAAAAATAAAAAGGTGGTATTCGTTGTTTCTATACTCTGCCTGCAGTTCGTCCTAACAGTCCCAGAATTGCTGTCATGTGACTGTTGGTCTCAGCTGAGTCACTGGTGGTTTATTCTTAGCCAATATTGAAACGACACACGTAGAATAAAGAGATTTGGATGAAATATCCCATTTTTAAGCTGTGATTTGTTCACGTTCTCTGATGGAACGGCATGTGTTAGTCGTCTGAGGAAAACCTGAAGATTCTTTCTGTTTTCACATAATAAAGGTGTCATTTTGGTGATTCCTTTTTTCAAACCCGCGGCAGGTTTCGGGCTTCACAGGGTTAAATAAACCAGCATCTATTAATAGTAAACAGAGGCGACTGACCCGACCCTCGATGCGAACCGCCCCCCTCCATGCTGTTGAGCTTCTGGGCCGCCAGCTGCACTTTGCCGGGCTGCGGGTCTCCGCTGGGCGTGGTGGTGGTGGTGGTGGTGGTGGCGGCGGGGCTCCCAGTGCTCCCAGCCGCGGGGGACGAGCCCGTGGTGGAGGTTATTGGGATGGTGATCTGGGGCTTGGGGGGCACCGCCGGCTTGTTTATGTGCCTGGCGGCGAAGTCCAGGTCCGGGATGGCCTTCATCAGCTCGGCCTGGGTCTCCTCCAGCAGCCGGTTGATGTCCTGAGCGCTGAACTGGGTCAAGCTGGCTCGCTTCTCCTCCCAGTCCCGCTCGGCCGCCTGACACAGACACAGACGGACGATGTGCAGTGACGTGCAGAGAAACACAACGGAGACAGATGTGTGCGGTGTGTTTTCTAATGCTGCGCGGATAAATGGAATTACAAACCAACTGCTGGTGTGTGAGCAGAGCCTCCGCCACAGATTTAAGCACCTTCAGATGCAATTTTCAAATGTTAATGGGCATTTACCATCTGGCCACCAGTGACATTTATTTACAGTCTGAATAATCTGCGGCTGATTACCAGTCTGACTTCGGCCGACACGGATTTGTCGGCGGGGCGTCGGCTCGGCAGCTCGTCCAGGACTCGGTTCCTGAAGGTCATGGGGGGCTGGTTGTCCTGCTCGGGGCCCGAGGCGTCGCCGTCGCCGGCCGTAACGGGCATCCAGTTGGCGAGGCCGGCGCTGGTGCTGAGGTCGGTGAGGCTGAGCGGAGGGCTGTTCAGGATGTCGAGGTCCTCGGATCTCTTCTGCTGGCTGGAGACGTCTTCGGGGCTCTTCCACACGCCCTCAGTCACTTGTCTGTACATACAAGGCGGAGACAAAAGACTACAATACACACAGGACAGCGTGAAGGTCCAGTCAAGCTGCTAAAACTCACTTTGTCTGATAAATGTGCAACATGTCATAATATACTGGGCGTAAACTAAACTAGAGGGAACGTCAGCGTTAGAAAGACGTAAATCATAAAAACAAAAGAACATTTGTATGTCTTGAATTATTTATTTTACAAAAATAAAACAAAAAAAAATCCCACGGTGTTACCGATACTGGTAGAAGTGGTGCCTTCACGTACTACAGATATATCACAACTTGTTTCTACACTTTTCACGTCGCCTGCAGTTCAACCGAAGCCTCCAAATTGTGGACTGTTGGTCACTAATGGTTGGGCTGCAGAACTTCTGTCTAGAGCAGTTTGTTTAAATAAGTTTAATAAGAAATCACAGAAAATAGAAAACCAAAACACGAATATTTTATAAAAATGTAAAAAAAAAAAAAAGGGTTCCTAATGCCCACAGGTGTTCCCAATCCTGGATAAAATAAAATAAAAATGGTGGTTTCACGTACTATTGGTATTTTACTACTTCTATTATCGACTTGTTTCTGCACTTTTTACAGCTGAAAGTCACGAATGACTTGCAGGATTTTTATTGTTTTATAGAATCTAGTCAGTTTATTTACAGCAAATGTCAAAGAGACGTTCAGAATGAAGTGATTTTTGCTGAAGTGTCACGATTTGAAACTTGGATTTGGTTGAGTTTCCAAGTTCAAGGTCCGTCTGAAAGTTAAAAATACGACATTTCTTTCTGTTTTGCACTGATGATTTGTGGTGATTTTTTAAAACTGAATTTGAAATAATGTATTTGGGGGATTTACTGGTTGAAAACTGGAATACTAATGAGAAGAAATGACTCGTGTGTGTTTGTGTTGTGAAGACAAACATTTACCCTCAGAGCGCAAAAAGAGAATTTTATCAAATCTGGAGTGTTAAGGTCCGATTTTAATGGAATTTAAATATAATTAGAAACAACCGACTTAATATGTGAAAACAAAAGAGTGATTAAAAAAATGAAAATATTGGAAAAGCGATGAAGTCTTTAATGTTAATGTAAATACGATACACATTGGAAATGGTAATAACTTACTTTTTTAACTAAAATGAAAAAAACTAATTCAAATAAAAGTGTAACAGGTTGGTAAGAAAACGCAGCGCTGGGTTTTTAATCTTGTTTTGTTCGATCAACACTCCAAACACAATTCAATTTACAGAGACATAAATAATGATTAAAAAAAAAGATTAAAACTAATTTAAACAAAACTGCACAAAATAATATATTTCTTTTTTTTAAAAAAAACAACTACAATCAGTGAAAACGATCACATCTGTAATTATGAAAGTCAAACTTAACAGTTAATTATTATTATTATTATTAGAAATTTTTATTTTCTGGAGGACACCATACAGAAACACAATTCAACAGCCAGACTGGATATTTTTTGCAGAATTCTTTTGTTCTATTTGATCAAACAGGTGGATTAGGTGTGATTTTAGTTAAAAAAGGTTTTTGTTTATTTTTATTTATCTTATACACAGACTCTTTGAGTGAATCACGATTTAGACGTTATTTAATTTAACTTTTTTGCTCATGTCTGGACTGTTTGGGTTCTTTAAGTGAAGAGTTTTGCAGGAAAACATGTTTATATTTGATAATTTTGATATCAGTACACAAATTGAGGCCCTTTAAATGACTCAGAGGCCTAAACATATGCATAAATAGTCTGCTAGCAGCGTGGTCTGATGAAATAATCGCCTCTCTGGCTTCCTGTCTGCTGAACTCGCTGAACTCCAGTCTGCTCCCAGTGAACCTCCTCTGATGTATTTATCAATATTCAGACGGTTCGTCCGTCCTTCAGGACTCTCAGCCATTATTGAGTATTTCACGCTACAGCTTAAACATCACTTTTCATCACGGAACAAAAATTCTGCTTTAAATTTCTGAAATGTTAATGTGCGGTTGCGTCACTGGGAGTCGTGTGAAAATGAGTTCGCCAGCAGTAAAAAAGAGAAACGATGTGAAATTCTGCGAATCCCATTTCCAACGCCGCCGTAAACACGTGGAACGATTTGCAGAGGAACGTGCTCCACTGATCATTTTCATTTAATGCAATTCAGTTACATGTGCGTTTGGCTCCAAAAAGCTTCTGCACAAGGTTTTCTTTACGTCAAGGCGAGAACCTATGAGCAACAACATTATTTTATCATCAACCGGTGAGTCCGCTTTGAGGTTTTGGGACATTCTGCTTCCACAACATGTTTCCTTTGAGACTCGTGCAAAGAAAACATCCACAACAGACATTTAAGGTGTTTATTTTCCTACACTTCTGCCTGTTTGTGTCTGTAGA